ATTAGATGGATCCACAATTGGCTGCAAAATCAGACTCAAAGAGTGCTCATCAATGGCACATTCTCAAACTGGGAAGAGGTGACAAGAAGGGTGCTGCAGGGTTCTGTCCTGGGACCAGCACTCTTCAACATTTTTAGTAACGATTTAGATGAGGAAGTACAAGGAAAGAGAATTTAATCTGCAGTTGACACAAAGCTGGGCGGACTAGCAAATACCCTGGAAGACAGAGATACAGAACAGCGTGGTCATGATAGATTAGAATGCTAGGCAGTGAACAACACTGAATCTAGAGGAGGCTGTTGCCATCCTGAGCCAATAATGGACTGAATGAGAGTCAATAAACTGAGGCTTAATCCTGTAGAGACTGAGATAATATTGGTAGGGGTGACCTCTGCTAGGTTAGGAGGGCATTACCCTGTCCTGGATGGAGTCACACTCCCCCTAAAGGACAGGGTCTGCAGTCTAGCTCATAGCTTCATTGAGCTACGCAAGCCCCTTCACCATGACAAGGCAGTGATCCATGAAAAGGCGTACTGACATATAAAGTCCTAAATGGCTTGGGCCCCAGCTATCTAAAGGAACATTTGCACCCCTATATACCTACCCACTTCCTTAGATCAGCTCAGGAGGCCCTTCTATGAGAACCACCCCTCAAGGAGATGAGAGGGGTGGCAACTAGATGAAGGTCCTTTTCCACTGCTGCTCCACATCTTCCCTAGGGAAATTTGCCGGGCACTGTCTTTGTTTTCCTTTTGGTGCCAGGTGAAGTCAAACCTTTTCAGAATTTTTTTAATATTTAGCCTGAATGCTGTGGCCCTTTTAATATTGCTTTCATAGATGTTTTAATTGGTTTTGCTTTAATGGGTTTTAATATGTTTTATTTTGTTTAATATGTTTTATGTATTGTAAGCCACCTAGGAAGGCCTCGTCAGTTTTAGGCAGTCTATAAATACATGCATAAACAAACAAACAAACAGAATGAAATTTAATCGGGACAAATGCCAAGTCCTTCACTTAGGAACAAGAAATGAAATGTACCGCTTCAACACTTGGCTCAACAAGACTACAAATGAGAAGGATCTTGGGATTGTTGTAGATCACAAGCTAAATATGTGCAAACAACATGATGTAGCTGCAAAAGGAGAAAATATTATTTCGGGCTGTATAAACAGAAGGATCACTCCCAAAATATGTGAAGTACTATTTCTACCATACTCAGCACTAGTCAGAACTCACCTGGAGTACTGTGTGCAGTTCTGGGCACCTAAGTTTAGGAAAAGATGCAGAAAAGCTAGAAAGGGTTCAGAGGAGGGCAACCAGGATGATTCAAGGACTAGAGGCAAAGCCCTATCAGGAAAGACTGAGAGATCTAGGCACATTCAGCCTCAAGAAGAAAAGACTGAGGGGTGATATGATAGCACTGTATAAATACCTCAAAGGCTGCCACAAAGGAGGAGGAAAAGATTTCTTCCAGTTCATTCCAGAGTGCAGGGACATGGAATGACAGACTTAAGTTAAAAGAAAGCAGAGTTAGATTAGACACTAGGAAGTATTTCCTCATTATCAGAGCAATGGGACAGTGGAACCTATTACCAGAGGAAGTTGTGGGATCACCCTTGCTGGCGACATTCAAAAAGTGTTTGGACACTCACCTGAATGTGATGGTGTAATTTAGCGTCCTGCAATTGCAAGGTTGGTCGGTTGGACCCAATGGCCTTCTGGCCCCTTTCAACTCTACTATTCTATGATTCTATGTCTGTATAAGGGATAGCTGCATGTACCAGGCTTAAATACATAACAAAATAATCTTACTACAGTCAAGAGCTCTCAACTGACTTCATCATCATGACTTTTATTAGTTTTATTCAGTCCTAAATGCCCTCTCTCACCCTCTAGGAACACCCTCTTCTAATAGAGGCCAAATCTTTACTGTTCAAGATGCTGATGCACCAGCTGATTCCACCCTGTGTACAGTGGAATCTTCTGATCACACTACAATGTTTCCAATAGGTAGAGGCCACTGGGAGGATGACTAATGGAGTCATCTCTACTCCATTAGCTGCACAAAGTCTCCAAACTAGTCTCTCTGCTCAGTCTCTTGTACTGTCAGATGCCAAACACTTACCACGTTTTACCCTGCTGCAGAGATGCATACAACTTAAAGCAAAGGCTTTACATCAATTACAAATCAATATGAAAATTGAACACAGCACTGACATTGCATACCTAACATGGAAGTCTTCCCAAAGTTTAAATTACTCAATAAATCACAGATTAGAACAGAAATTGGCTGGCTGGCATCTTCCAGGACTTCCCTACCTACACCTGAGTTAATGTGCTGAGTTCTCCATTAACCCACACCACTGCTTCTGCTTCCCACAACACTCCACAGCTAGGAGGTACAAAGTCAGCAGATAAGGAGACCTATCTGAGAAATTCCTGCTTTCTACCTGTTGCAGTGAGGACAGAGTCAGCCGGGGACAGAAGCAGTGGGGGGCAGAGAGAATAAAGAAGGAGAATGAGAGACATTACAGTAAAGAAACCTTGAGTGGGAAAGAAAGAGAAGGAAAGAGTAGGCAAAAATACTGGTGGCAACAGAACATAAAGTATGCTTGCATAGCTGGAAAAAAATTGTCACATGCCTACAGGCTCAAAATGGTTGCCTGTGTCTGAGGGATCACACTACAACCCTGAATGTTTCCTTATTTGTGAAATGGTGACCATGTATATTCTCTTTAATAAAATGTTTCAGTACTTAACAGAAGCCTATTACCAGTGCTTTACCGCATGCTTTTGGTTCCTTGCTCTTTGGCAAGGAACTGAAGGATTTAAGAGTATAAAAACTGAAAGGTTTCCCTGAGCTGGTGAAAGGTTCTTGGTAAGCCATTTTCACTGAGACAGATTCCATATTACTCAGTCAAACACTGGGGTTAATAGTTAAACTATATCACTCTGGACTATTTTCCAGAGGTCAGTCTAAGGGAGATTTAAGCAATACATTTTTGTGGAATAATAAATACCCATACATTTTTGTGGAATAATAAATTATGGGTTACAGACTGGCTGTATTTAAAAAGGAAATATAAGACAAGTTTCTATCTGAATGTGTGATATCATACTTAAAGGGTATCAGTGTATCACATTTTACTGAATTAGACATGATCCTGTAGAAGTACAAATTCTAGCCAGATTATATCTTCAAACACCATTTCATCTCTTGTGTGAAATGGACAGTGTTAAGTAACTACTAGCACATAAAATATAAGATTCTCTATGCTTAATCAGTGTCATTAAATACAAGGAAGATATCTTATACCTATCTATTAACACTATTCAAATTTTAGACTGCAATTCCATCAGTGGCAGCTAATGCCCACTGGGGCAGTCAAGATGGAGGGCAAGACAGCTAATGGCTGTAGAGCCAAGGGGTTACATTAGCTACACAGTTACTATATAAAAAGATAAAGTAAGGCAAACTAACTTAGAAATCATGCCTCCAAAGTGTTTGTGTGTCAACACAGCAACATACTAAGTAGTTATTTGATTCCATAGCAGCAGCCTATTGTACAGAAAGGGGAAAGTAAAATCAGCAACTTTAAGAAGATGTGTGCAAAACAAGCAGGGAAGATCCACAGAAGGAGAAACTTGCTTCTTTGACTTTCTTCCTCTAACAGCAATTCCTATCGCACAGAGGCAAACTGGGGTGGGGAGAATGGGAGATATTAACATCCACTGTGTCTGCTGCTGTATTCTCAATGAGGCTCACCATACTGCTCAGTATGCCCCCTGATCTAGCACTCAAGAAACAGGAAAATAACTCTGTTGATCTGGTGTGTACAAGCATGGGAGTAAATGTTTATAAAAAACCCAACAACTTTTACTGGCTTATGAACATCCTGTATGGGTCCCTTCTGAATTCTAATTTTTGGGTCCTGATTAGTTTGAGAGAACCAGATCATGGGGAGTTAGGCAGAGGATGGCTTGCCACACATCTTGGCCTACAATTCCCACCACCTCCCCACACTGTTAGCAACCCTTCCTTAGTGCATGCACACATAGGAAGCGAGCAGTCACAGACCCACAGAGGTATGTGCACAGCAGCAGCTGCCACCAAGAGGCAGAAGGCAGAATGCAGCAGAAAATCAGTCTTCATCACATATGAAAGTGGTTCACATTGCACAAGGGGAGGCTGGAGGAGAGAAAAGGTGCGGCAGCTGGGGGCTCTGGTAGACAGGATATAGGTTGCCACTCCCTCCCACTTTAAAGGGCAAACCTTGCCTGAATTCATCCATATTAAGAATATCCCAGCTGCCCTGGAAGCACTGCCCTGACAGCAAGCATGCAAGAGGAAAAGCTGCATGCAAATTTTAAACAGTGCCCCTGCAGAGAGTAATTTATAACTTCTAATATGTTAGTTCAATTTCTGCTTACCAATGATACATAATATTAATACTTCCTTTCCCATATGCACAGTGTATGTGCCAAACTGGCATCAAATCAGTCCTTCTTCAGAATGAAGACTCTTTCTGTGTTGCAATGTTTCTTTGCTTTCACTGCAATTCATATTCAGCACTAGAAGATTGCAATAGCTCAGTGAAACTGAAGAAGGCCGGAGTGAGCACATGCTACATGCCTGTGTGAGAGCTGTTTAGCATGGGAGTACAGGACCCAGAGGAATCCACAAAGACACTGGGATTTTCACCACCTATGTCGTTTTGTCACTTACTGGGGTAAAAACAGAAGTCCATTCAAACTTTGTTTTAAGATCCAGATTGTAGCAAAACACTGCAGCAAACCCTCTCTTTCTTTGCTATCTGTGAGGACTTAAGCCATCTTCGTTTCAGTGGGTGTCCATACAGGCACTACATTCCTGGGCACAATCTGATTACACTAACTGCACAGCAACCTGCCACCAGATTTGCCGGTGGGAGAGGGAAAGGAAGGGCGGAGGTGGCAAAGGAAGAGCACGCCCTCCCCAACGACCCAGGTGCCTGTCGCGTATGATCCTGAAGGTGGATCTTGCTGCTGGCTCCGTGCAGAGCTACCCATTTGCCATCCCGGGGAGCAAATGGCCTGATGTGCTTTTTTCAGGTTTCGGCGCCGCTCGCCTGGGCCAGAATTTTCCACGTCCAACCCGGCCCGCCTTAGCGCTCGGGAGCGGCGGCCGAGAGCGGCAGACCTCTGCAAGGGGCTTGCACCGAGCGTGTGCGCCCAAGCGCAGCCGGAGAGCCCAGCCCAGAAGCCCCACCGCCCTGGCCTCGAGAGCGACCCTCTCCCACCCCCGCAAAGCCCTCCACCACGCACCAGCCGGGGGCTCCAGCGTACGAGCGTACCGCTGCCGTGGATTCAGCCCGGCTTCTCTCCTTCCTGCCTCCCGCCCGGGCCGCCCCGCCCCCAGGCCAATACAGCAACCCAAAGAGCCGAAGCCCAGGAGACCGCCGCTCGCGTTACCTTGGCAGAATGGCCGGGCCCCGCTGCTGCTGCTGCTGCTGCTGTCGTCGCAGTCGGTGGATCCGTCACCATCGCTTTCAGGCGACGACGGTCTCGCCGGCGGTTCCAGGACCTGCCGGGCTGCCTTCACCGCTCCCCCCACCCCCGGAGTGTATTCCCCGAGGTGCGGCTGGCTCCGCGTCCTCTCTCGGAAGGGGGCTGGCGGGAAAGGAGCAACGGCGGGGCAACGCGCAAGGCCTGGCGGCGGCGCGTGTAATCGGCCAAGGGGCTTCCTCTCTGTCAGTCACTCACCGGGCGCAGAGATGAAGTCCGACGAGGAAGTAAAGGGCAAGCGCCGCCGCAGCCGTCTGCGCGCCTCAGTGACTCACCCCAGCCCGCAGCCGCTCTCGCTCTTTCGCGAAGGCAGCCCACGACGCCTTCTCGTCGCCCGCTCCGGCCGGAGGAGCCTAATCTCAGGGCGACGGCCCCGCCGCCAGGCACCCGCCCCCCCTGCTGCCGGGAGACATGCTTGCAGGCTACCTGCGGAGGGGGCGGAGATGGAGGCGCGGGCCCGCTCCGCGCGCGCCCCGGCGGCCCGGGAAGGGAAGGGAAGGGCGCAAGGCGAGGACTTGTTGCGCGCGAAGCGAGCCCCCTCGAGCGCGCCCCGCCGCCCCGCCCCGCCTCTCAGCCCAAGGTGGCACCAGATCCAGCAAAACCAGTCCCGCCGCCGCGGTGGAAAACCGGCTCATGGAAAACTGGGAGCAAGACCAGGCAGCAAGCCCCACCTCCTGGCTGTCTCCTGGGAGCTAGCAGGGGACGCCTCCCGGTATGAGGGGTGGGGGGAGGCGGAAAGGAGCCCGCCGGAGCGGGAGCGCCGCGTCTTCCCTTCGGTCGGCGCCTGGCGAGAAGTTAATGATAAATATCTTCGCGCGGGGCGTGGGGCTCCTTTCGGGAGGAAAGGAGCAAGTCCTCCTCCGAGCCGCCCACGCATGGACCGCGTCCACGGCAGCAGGCGTCGGGGCATTTGCCTTGGCTGGAAACAAACGGACGGCACCCCCTTTGTGAGCGAGAGGCGCCTCGTGAAACCTCAGAGCGCTTCGCCCGGGGCTCGCTCACAGCTGAGCAGATGCAGGCCGGTGGAGCGGGCATTTTGTACCACCTTGGGAGAACGACTCTCCGGCAGAAAGTGGAGGGGACCGAAAATCGGGATGGATCCTCCGCTGTGGATCTGCTAGATGAGGCTGAACCTCTTTGCCGCTGCCCGGCTTTCCCTCGCCGCCGCAGGAGCAAATTAGGCTGCAGTTTAGTTAGTCCCATTGCACGCAATAGAGGTGCCTTGTGAGTAGACATGCTTAGGATTGCAGCAATCGTGCCTCCGCTTTTTCTCTGCATCAGGCGTAATTACAGACACAAGCAATTAGTGTGTCAAAACAGCCTATCCTCCAGGGCTTTGCTGCAGTGCATTCTCATTAGTCCGCAGCATATGCTCGCAGGAGTTCCCCGAAGAAAGGGCAGGCTGCGTATCTGCTCGGGCCCGGCGAAGGCGCTTGGTAGGCTGGGCAGCCACGGCTGCGCTGTCAGGGAAGTCTTGCTTCTCACAGATTGTTCAGACTTGAATATGTGAGCAAGGGGGACGATCTTTCAGATCCTTCCTGACCCAACGTTCAGATCCATTTTCAGATAAAAATGCCGAGCTAGGTAATGCGGTTGTAGTTATTTTAATTACACACTTACGTTACTTTCAAAACGGATCAAAAATAGAGAATCCAAACATCAAACGAAAACCGCCTAGAATGAAACCAAGACAAAGGGGGGAACAAAAATTAAAGTCATCTCAATACATAAAATCAAAACAAAACAGCAGAATAAATTAGTAAAAGCTCTAAAAGCAGTTTTTAAACTGGCTGGCAGAATGAAATGTTTTCAGGTGGTGCCCCAAAGACCATAAGAAAGGTACCAGGCAAGGCTCTCTGGCACCCCTGAAAAGGCCCTCTCCTCATTTGGTGAGGGACCCAGGAAGAGGACCTCTTGCTATTTTCATGTCCAGTAGGAAATTGAATGTTGCTTAAAACTGGTTATCTGTCCCTGCAGTGCTGGTCAATTCACTTTCAACTGGTACAAGAAAGCAAACCAAAGGGAAGTCCTTTAGTTGGTACAAAGTTGGTACAAACTTGCTGCAAAGTTGGTCACCAATTTATTTTTAATGGGAATTGAGGCACCATATATTCTGAGAAATACTTGCGTCATGAGGCAGAAGATGGTCAGTCTTCCAGTCTACATCCACATGCAAACTGAAGATGGGGAGATTTTGAAGGATAAGGAAAAATGTGCTTTGAAGAAAAGTTTTGAGGAGCTCTGAACAGAACACCGGGCCTGCCATTCAATGGGCACAACCTTGCAACAGGTGAATTGTGAGAGGAGCTGAACAGGCATCTGAGCTTGCTAATTGGAGTGGGGCTAATAAAAAGAAGCTCAGTCCGGATATAATGGAGATACTGTTAGTAGGTGGTTGTGTGGCCAATAGAGCGTGGCTGGCTTGTTCTGGACAGAGCTGCACTCCCCCTAGGACAGTGGTGGGGCACGGCCGGTCTGCTGCCTGGATGTGGCCTCCCCTCCCACTTCCACCGTGTAACCTTGTACTGCATTTAGCCTGCATGCAAATAGAACTATTTTTCCTAGCCAACTGGCTGTGCGGTGAGGGGTTGCAACTGGGGAGGATGGTAACCTTTGGGAGCAAAAGCTCCATTAGTGCTGTTTTTTAAGTTATTGCTCTGCAGGGGGGAGCCTTGAGGATAGGAAGCAGAGGGGAGGAGAGGAGAGAGATGGGGGAAGTGTTTTAATTTGGTTGAATGCTCAAACCGTTTTTTCTGTTTGCCTTGGTTTTATTCTGTGCTATTTTTATTTTTCAGGTCTGTGTTATGTGTATCAGCCAGAGAACTTCAGGTTTGGGGTGGTATAAAAGTAAAATAAATTTCAAAAGAAAGAAAAGTAGGAGTGGATGTGTGCATGAATGTATGGATGGATGCTGCAGAATGTTAGTGGTATATTTGAAAGAGAGAAAAAGTATTGTGTGGATGGATGATGAATGATATGTATGCAAAAATAGATGGGTGGAGTGCATGTGTGTTAGAATGTCTGGAGGTGTGCACACTATTCACATGCCTCCCTGATAAGGTACATCCAAGGGAATAAAAATACCCCATCTGTACCTAAAGGACTGAATGCAGAAATGAAAGTGTTGTTCTGTCCAGTCTTAGTCTATGGTTGAAGTGGCATCTATGACACGAAGCACCACAGAGCAGCTGAGAGATGTGCACTTCTGTGACAGAGATAGCCTGTTGTTATTATCCACGATCCAGCCACATCTACTGTGGGCTACTGCAGTGGATTGTTCATGAAGGTGACTAAAAAATTCAGTTGGTTCAAAACATGGCAACTAAACCTTTGGTTGGCACACATCCCAGCTACCTGAAAAGAGCTTCTTGGCTTTGTGTCAGTGTTCAGACACAATCTTTAAATCAATCTGTAGCTGGGGATCAGGATCTGCTATCATTTCACATGTAAGAAAGGAAGGAAAGGAAGGTAGAAGGGTGCTAATACTTGTGAAGGCAGCTCCTGCCACACTGAGGAGGCTTTCCTCACATATGCTGAGTTGGTTGAATGGCTCACGTGTGAGAATTTTGACCTCACTGAGGTTCTTACAATAGAAAAATCCAAAAGTCAACTCTCAACAACCATAGAGCCAGTTCTCTATACCTTCATATGACTCCCCCTTTCTTAGTGCTTTGAGTCCATCTGCTCCTTCCCCTCCTCAGTGTCTAGCCCTGCAATTCTGTGTTTCCTTACTTGGAAAGTAAGTTCCATTGAACATAATGAGATTTACTGCTGAGTAAATCATTTTAGAGTTATGCTGATGACATTCCTCCTAACATGAGTTGTGCAGCAGGGTGTAAACAAGTTCTTAGCTAAACTAGAAAGTCAAGTGTATACAGTATAATTAAACATCAGCAGAACACGTGCTCTAGAAAAGAACCCTTCTCATTTAATCCCTTTTATTCAGTAAGTCCTCTTTCATCTTTTTAAAAAAGTAATTAATTAATTTCATTTCTATACCACCCCACAGCCAAAGCTCTCTGGGCAGTTTTTTAAAAAGATGTTATCAAGGTATCAAAACAAATACATAGAATAACAGTGTATTTCAAGAGTTGTAATTAATGAATTGAATGCAGGAATAAATGTATTTTCATATCAAGCCAAGGACCAGAAAACATTCTTGGAGCGACATAGCATATGAACCTGAAAGACCCTTATTCTTTGCAAAAGATGGAGAATATATGAGGACTATCCAGACCCTGGCTCCATAGACAACGTAGCCCCTCCTCCACATAGCTGCCAGGCTTTCAGTTCCCATGGTGCCCTTCCCCGCTAGTGAAAGACCACTGCAGGGTGGTCTCTGCTGTGTCCTTCCATGTGCACTCAGAATGGGAAAGCAACCCCTTTGCCAAAGATGTAAAATACACTGGGGAACCTGCCTTAAGGTGGTTGTTGTAAATTCATTATCAGCACGTAGCACATGAAATGCATACCCCAGCCTCACATGAGGGAAGGAGATGAGATTTAGCCATGATGGGGAGCAACAGCCCTTTAATTATATGAGGCATAAGCATTGGAAAGGGCACCTACACAATCTCCAAACTCAGGCTACAGCCATTTAAAAATTGCTATTGTTTGACCAAGTAGAATGATGTTAAGATCCGGAATTTATAGTTCCTGAACGCTTTATGAGGTTCTCACAATGCACTGTGCTTGAGGTAAACATCCTCTTACGTTCTGACCCTGAGCTATAATTTCTGAGCTCACTTAATATGGAGTTAAATGAAATTTAAAGGTTAGTAAGACTGCTGTTCCACACTAAGTCTCATTGAGTTCATTGGGACTCATTTACACTTACTGGATGTATGCCATATGCACAACCTTGAATTCCATGGAAGAATGGTAGGATATACATGTGAACAAGAAGATGCCTAGATCTTAAGTAAGCATGTATAGGATTGACACTGTAATGTAAAGTAGACTCAGCTGAATTTAACTGGTAGTGGTTACTTACAGCAGTCTGGATTATTAGTTTGTACTGCAAAGTTTGCAGGGCGGTTGTCAAGAAGCTAACAGGCACTTTGCCACTGAACCCTTTCAAGTTTCCTCAGAGAGGGCAATGCTTCCTCAGTAACAGAGGCAAAGCATATATCCAAAGTGTCACTTAATTTAGGGTGTGATCCTTCGGCCACTAGGCAGAGGGTAGATGGCTCTAGGAGAGGTTAGAGCCCAGCTCTGACCTTGGAAATAAAGTGCTAGAGCTGTGACCTCAGAGCACGCTGGTGCAGAAAGAACTGTGCTGGCCACCGCTTTGCTATTCAAAGATTGACCTCAGAATCGGAGATTCATGGGTGCCTTGGAGGGAAGGAGGTAGGCTTTGGGGCAAAAGACTTAGAGGCCCTAATTGTCTTGCCAGGCAAGGCAGGAGGAGTGTGGAGATGACCTTCACCCCTGCAGCCTGTCCTCCATGTGTACCAGAGCGCATGCACAAGAGGTCCTCTGATCTGGAGGGGTCCCATGAATCCTAAGGGCTTGATTCCACAACCAAACCATATGGTACTCATATGGTGTGTGTTATGTACATAATAACTCCATCATTTGTTTACAGTATGGAATGAAATAGCTTAATTACATTCATTAAAACCAGCACCTTCAATCATCAATATTATTTGAATTAGCATACTTGCTTTACAGACCCACTAACTGTATTGCAAACTCCAGAATGCTGCCAGCAGGATGAATGAAGAAGGGCTTCCTTCCCAGGGTATCAGTGCCATTCTGTTTAATCACTTGGCTAAAACTTTTGATTCAGAGCAAAGGTGCTTAATGGACTTTTTAAAAGCATAGGCTTTTTAAAGAGTTTAAAATAAAATAAACATTTGTCTTGTGATATAAACCAAGCACGTCAATTTCCTCAGATGAAATGACACTGTGTGGTCAATAAGAGACATTTATGCAACTTTAATTTGTTTATAATGGAACCTTACATTTCTACTTCCAATTTAAAGCCTGAACAATAAGGGTGCTATGATTATGAGACAACTTACGTGAATTTGCCACTAAAGAGCACTTTTGTTTCGTTAGAGCATTTAACAGACCAATCTCTATCCACTTTATTTAATATAATCTGTATTATTTCTTCGCTGTGAAGTTGACACTAGAAATCTGCCTAACTACATTAATGCAATAAATATAGCTCTGATAATCTTTCCAGAATCTTGATAAACTTTCTCAGCCTTCACTTTTAAAAAAAGAGGTGCTGGTTCTAATTATTGCAGGGAAAAATTTAAAAATACGTATAGAGAAATATATTACAGTACTAACAAGCCAAAACACATAAGTAAACTTAAATATGAAAGAAAGAAGACATTTCAGAAGGTCAGAGAAAACTCAAGTAATTTATATTTATGAATTCACTCTAATTAATATATTCTGTTTGCAGAGGAAATACATTTCCAGGGCATAATTTCTTAGCTGTTCTGACAATTAGGCTGAAATCTTATACATGCTTACTTGGGCTTAAGTGTCCTGAACTCAGTGGAGCTGCTTCTGAGTAGAGATGAATAGGGTTGCACTATGAATCTCATGTGTATGAAATATATGTTTATAATTTTCATTAAGAAGGGATTTTTATTATTACCTAAGGCAATAGATCATTTGGTGCATCACTATGATTTAAATGAGAACATTTTTGGCAAGAAACCATAAAAGGTCAGATCCAATTTCACTGATGTTGATAGAGGAAAAAAGCAGGATGATTTTTTTTACAGTGGTGAGCTTTATGATGTTTATTTAATTCTACCTCAAATATAATAGATTATTTTGCATTCAGGAATAGAGAAATTAGCTCCTCTTAACAGCTGGACACACACTGTACACATGTGGCTGATTTCTTCTAGACACACAGGATTATTTAAAACTTTTTCCCTTCCTATATCTCACAGTAAGAAAACAGCTTCAATCCTAATGGGCAGTTTCAATTTTCTGTTCATTACTAAGTGGCTCCAAGATTATATTTCCACATTGTTTTAATTAATGAAGCCAATTGCATTTGAACGATGTGTACAGTAATATTGATTGTGTGGTTGATGGTTTTCAGCCAGGTTGTCCAAGCTTTATAATCACCATTAGGATAATTATATTTGCATGTATTTAAATTAATTAGAATATGCAAAATACACTGAGATCTGTGTCAGCTTTGTCTGGCATCTTCAGAACTCAACTGTTTCTTGGTTTTTGCAAATGTAGGAACAACAGGCAGTAAAAGAGTGTTGCTGTTTTGAACCACCAGGAGAGCTTTGGCTATTGGGCAATATAGAAATACGGATGACTATGATAAATGAGAAGGGCAAATGTGCAACATCAGTGCACTCTTATCTTCCTTGCCCCTGTCACAGTCCTGATTAAAATGTACCAAATACTTTTCCGGATGTAAAGCTATATGGGAATTAGTTTCAACCAAGCCTGTGTTCAAAGGAAGGACAAGCTACTGCATGCAAGAGATCCATGAAGAGAGGACCACCTTCTTTTTGTAACTCCCGTGCCATTAATTTATTTATTGTGTCTTGAGCTCCACATTCTGCCCAAAGTATGGTCTGAAGGCACATAAGACATCCCCCATGTTGAAGCTAAGCAGGTCTGTGGGGGGCCTGAGCTTGGAGGGGAGACCACCAGGGAACTGCATGTAGCCACCATGTGTTCCAAAAGGGGAGAAAGGCAGGAAATAAATGAGTAACTATTCTGCCTCATGAATTTAGGGAGCAGTGTTCTCGCTCTCTATGTGTCTGTGTGTGTATTGGGATTTTTGTCTTCTTGCACGATTCTTTAAATCTGCTGTTCCCAACCTGGTACCTTCCAGAGGTGTAGGAATGCAACTGCTGTAATTCCCGGCCAGC